AAACTCTGCCTTTTATAAACAGTTGTGCCATCAGAATTGGTAAAAGAATCCCTGAGAGTTCATCTAAAGAAGTCTTGCTTCCAGGCTTTATTCAGCTGCCAAATGTAAATGTCATATAAATTTAACTCTTTGAAGTGAGTGGCGGCTTTTAATGCAGTTTTAAACTAAAGCAAGAACCATGATTAAAATGTTACATGCTAATGTGACATGGTAAGGAGTGTAAATACAGTAAAATAATTTCAAATATAGCTGTAGAATTAAATGACATAGCTTTCCACAAAGGAAATGTGTATAACCTGAATGTATTTAGAAACATTGTGAATGCTCTTCTCAAGATGTAACGTGTACTTATTATACTAGTGCTGTAGCTTAAGTCATTAATAGTATTGTGCCAATAACTTTTAATACTTTTTACTGTTTCCAGGCATCACCAGCTCAGCCTACGCCACAAACACCAAATACAGGTGGTCGGCGAAGAAGAGCTGCCAATGAAGACCCTGATGAGAAAAGAAGAAAGTTCCTGGAGCGAAACCGGGCTGCTGCTTCCAGATGCCGACAGAAGCGGAAAGTCTGGGTGCAGTCATTGGAGAAAAAAGCTGAGGACCTAAGCTCACTAAATGGCCAGTTACAGGTATACTTTTTATTTCAAGTGAAAATGTGTAAGTTTTTTGATTCTTAAACAGTGATCCTGGATCAATGGAACTTAAACTTTGCATGAAATCTGAAATAGAAATGGTTTTGTAACTGGTGGCTCAGGTCAGAATTGAAAATTCAGCATTAATTGCATATACCAGTAAAATAAGAATATAAAAGAATACTCAGATTTCAAGATGTTTAAGCTTTAGGATCGTGCCCTTTTGTCCTTTGTCCATTTTAAATGACTTTCAGACTGTGATACTAAACAAGGACGGCAAGATGTGTTGGAGTATAGGCTTATTATTAGCAACATAATAGCCTTACCTTAAAAACATCTTGCTCTTAATTTGTATCACAGCCTGAGTTATTTAAATAAGGTTTGATTTGATTTCCTTTGGTTCTTTTTAACTTCACTTTTTTTCCTTTAAAGTGAATGTAGTGCTCGTGAAAGGTGCCAGATTGACATCACTGGAAACTGAAGGCCTCTTTTGTCCACAGAACAGGTACAGCACAGGCAGTGGCAGTGCAAATTTCACCAAGCTGCCCTACCAGTGTGCGTAAATCCTATAGAGAGGGCAGTATATTGTGAGAGGGTAGGTTAGTCTACGTTGCCTCTCATTTTTGCACATCATCTGAGGTTGTCAGTTGTTGGAAAGTTGTTGTGTGGACACACTTTTCCCCCTGTAGAACAATCTATGACCATTTTGTTTAAACTACTATTAAATGTTAAAGCATACTTTCTTAATGTTTTCCAGCAGCACATGAGAATTGGCACAAAGTATTGTCTCAAAATAAAAAGTCTAAAAGCTCAGTTTTGAGAATTACAGAAAGGAAAAATGATGTAACCTCCTAAATGAAGCATTCATTTAGAAAATGCAATGGAAAGTATTTTGATATTTTAAAGTTTCGCTTGTTCTTTCATTGGAGCTGTTCACTGAGTCAAGTTCACAGATCTTTTCCTTCCTATTAAAACTCCTCTTTCATGCTGTTTGATAAAGGAAATGTCCCAGCTTGACCAACAGGAAAATAGGGCATGTTGAGATTACTTTTTATCATGTAATTGAAATTACAGTGTATCAGTAATCTTCATGTTCACGTCTTTAAAAATACTCCGCATCCCAGACTGTAAAATGTAAGAAATAGCTAAGCACACAATGTGAAACCATTTCCGGTGTTCCAAGAATCGTGACATTGTGCACCAGCGTTAGTTAAATTTCTTGTAAATACACAATCTTCTCATACCTGTTCACAGTCTTTCGACATGTTCCTTTAACACAGTCACAGTCCTTACTGCAAATCCATTAATCACAAAATGGTTTGTAGCACTGTAGCTTAAATAATCTAAGAAACAAGTGAAGGTAGATCTACAGGAAGAAAAACAAAGAACAAAAAAGATTGGCTATATTTCAGTTTTCTTAGTGAAAGTAATTTTTGGTATTATGTGAACTGCCTTTAACTTATAGAACTTACAGATACCAATTTTTATAACCAAACCCAATGTAAGTACCATAACCAAAAGATTTCCAGATTTCCAAGAGTTAACTCGGTTAATAGTGAATTCAAGAAAAAGAATTTTCTTAGTCTGCCAAAAGCAAAACTGTTAACTGTGAAGAACAGAATGACTTGTAAAGCAAATTGAATGTCAGAGAAATAATTAAACTGTACTTTATGTGAAAACATTAATCAAATCTGTATTTCCATAATAATTCTTCACTTGACAGGCTAACACAGCTGATCAGCATAGTGGGCAGTAATGACCCATGATTACTTACTTTATATTTAATAGTAAATTTAATAAGTTTGGAGTTTTGCCTTAGTACAGTTTTATAGACTGAGTGTTAGGGTTTAGAGGTTCATATTTTGTTTAATATCTAAATGACCTGCTCAGCTGAATTTACCGAGATGTCACATTTCCAAAAGTAGGTTAATACCAAAATGCCTACATTGCATTGCTTCACGTAACAATTCTGACTACTTTCAACACAGTTAGTAGCTTTCTTGTAACGTCAATGTCAAAGCTGTTAACGTCAGTGTCCAGGTTTTTGAGATAGGAACTCTCTAACAGTGCATACAGATTTTGAAGAGGTTTACTTTGTTGGTGTATATTTTGTTCTGTAGTTTTCAGCTTTGTGTAGATTAACTTATGCCTACTTACTTTTTTTAAATGTTTGAATGTAATTTCCTTTTTAAGCGCTATTTTTGAAATTTTTGCTTAAGGGAAAATTTCCATCTATTATATCCTGCCAGTAACATATTTAGGTTAGATTAGCTGTCTGCATTATAGGTTCTGCTATGTAAGCTTTTTTCATGCTTCCAGCCTTTTAAACTTTATATACTGTTTGATTTTTGTGGGTTGTTTTCTACTAATACGTTGACTTGTTTATTAATTTTAAATTTTATATACCACACTGTGTTGCCTCTGCAGTATTGTGCAAGGCACAGGGTATGGTATGCTATATAATGTGTTAAGGAAGTATTGACAGTGTGTCCCCAGTGACCACTCGATCATACTGCAGGATCAGATGCCAAAGTTCGTTATGTGGTCTCGATTTGGTTCCTGTTGCTTTAATAATCTTAGAGGGCAAAGTATTAGTAGAAGAATGGCCTGTCTCCCCCATGAGGTCATTATAGGTTTTAAAGGATCAGCAGTCGGTGGCAGTTTGTACTAAAGCTGCACAAGCTGCTTTAGGAAGGCTAAATTATGAAAGACATGCCCATAAGTAAAGGTCCTCGTCCATACAGAGGTATCTTATTGAAGTTATCCAAAAAGAAACAGGAAGAGCCGTGTTTAACTTTGCTACAGACAATCCTCTGTCCTCATAAGTCACATCTGCCTGTCTCTGTTGATAGTTTTGGTATATAATACCTCGCAAATATTGTCCCACACCTTGCTGAGTAAGGATTAATCTGGTCCCACTATTAGATACACGTTTCGGATCCAGGGAGAAATAGGCGGATACAGAAGAACATACTGTACACTGCGTGGTATATCTTTGTAAGAATCTAGAAGGCAAAGTATCTTTTGAAAAATGTAGTGCAGGTAAAAATAGATATGCTTTCCTCCAGAAACCTGCTTTCTAATGTTAGCACATTTTGAAATGCGGGAACATAAAAATTCTTCTAGGCAGCATGTGAGGTATATTTCATGCTTTTTAAAGAAATGTTGATGCCTACACTTGATTTGATACCTCATTAATGAACAGGACCTTTCCAGTGCAAAAACTTGAAATAATCTTTCTTTGTGCCACCAGTTGAAGCTTTTATTCCATGTGTTTCTTCTTGTTAGCCTCTTTTCCATAAAGACCACCCCATGTTAACATATTTTGAATGCAATGGAGAGACTTGCTATTGCTACATACATGATAAGAAAACTACACCATGTATAGAGGCTGGTTCTAACTGCCTCCCTTTATTACCGGTCAGAAGTGGTTCTACTGGTAATATGTAAATGGCAACCGTGGATTGCCTTTCTGTGGCATTCCACATGTCTAGCAGACATACTCTGTTCTACTTCCAGGAATGATTTGTGCATTGCATATAGCATTGTTGGCAAACAACGTTCATGTTATTAACAATGCTAGCTATGTGTTCAATGAGAATTCCTCACCTTTTTAGTGTAGGAATGCTGTTCCATTTTTTTTCAACTCTGCTTTAATGTAAGATATTTGCTTTTTCTATTCCTGTTAGCAAAATTCTTAGTATTTATAATACAACTGACAGTCTACAAACTGCCTTTTCAAAAAATTTTCATAAACATTAGTTTTACTTACACTGATAAACAGTGACTTCATACTTTTATGTGCTGTTTGTGTATACAATTCTTCCTTAAAATGTGGGAGATGAAGGTAGAAAATTTCTGAAAACCTTTTCCCAATTAGATCACTTATTTTGCCAACGTTCCTTTAAACTAACAGAAGTATGTTTCGGGTTCTTGGACATTTCTGCTTCTGTTGATTATCAAGAAGTGTCTCAAAACTACATCAGCACTTTCTTCCCACTCCTCAACTATGTCAGTTCTGTGCAGCTGCCTGCTTGGCATCCAGATTTGTGACTCCTCAGTAAATAATATGGTGAACAAAGGAAACTGGGAGCTCAAGGCAGAAGTAGTGTGATTTCTTAACAGCCCAAGATTTCAGGACATGTAGTGTCAGCTGGTAGAGATTTTGTGGGGTTTTCGGTTGGGTTTTCTTCATTGCAACTTTTTTGTTTGTTTGTTTGCAATTTTTCTTTCATTAAGAAACATCTATTAAGTGAGATTTTGGCTTTGTTTCAGCTGTTGTTTTTGTTTTAAATATGAAGTTTCTAAAAGCGATATCTGGCACAAAAAAATGACTGAATGGAAAAGTAATCCTTAACAGTTTAAGAGGATTTTATGCAAGTATAAAGGCTTGAAATTTTTTCTCTCTTAATTAGAAAGAGAGTACACAGAGGAGCTTTTATTCTAAAAATCTGATGTTTTAGTTACAGTATTTATAAACTATGTTATTTAGTGTAATTAAACCTAATAAATTCTATTGTTAAAAATTGCTTTCCTTATTTTTGAATCCTTTAAGTTATATTTCATCTCTTCTCCGAGTGCATTGCCTTATTTCTAGCTTGCAGGTAACTAGATTGACTTTCTCATGTTTTTTCCCCGCATAACTATTTGCAATACAATTTTCCTGTGTTTGTGTTTTGTTTAGTTTGTTTTTTTTTTTAACTTGCTCTCAAATGCATAAACATAGGCATTTACCAAACAATTGTGTCCTGGTATATTATGCTGAAGTGCCAGGGTTCTTTAAGTAACTTCAAGTATCAACAGAAAGGATGTATATTTAAAAGAAATTACCCTTGAAAAGCATGTATCGTGGCAAGACAAGGGCATCAAAGATAACTTGATTCTGTAGTTACATAAACGTTTTTCTACTATTTTAAGTGAAAACAGATCTATCAAAATGCCATTCCGTCCTTAATTTGGATTGTCACATGTAATGCACTTCTGTAGCGCTTCTCATCTGTAGATCTCAAGCTGCTTTACAGGGAGGGTAAGTATCACTGTCCTCCATTTTACAAATGGGGAAACCGAAGCACAAACTAGTAAAATGACCTTGCTCAAGGTCACCCAATAGTGGAAAGGCACAGCCTGGAAATGAACCCAGTCACTAGATTCTGCAAGTGCCGTCTCCTAGATTACACTCCGCTTTAGTGACATCAGCTGCCATTTCAGCATTTTGTCATTATTATCAATTATTCCTTCATACAACACGTTTAGGTATGATTGCCAAAGACAAAATTGCTATGGAAATCAACAGACATTTACTGAATTATTTTCCATTACATGAGGTTTTCTTTTTCAAAGTCCAAGTACAAATTTAGTCACCAAAAAGCATTCTGCATTGGCTGATTTACCTTTTTTTTTTTAACTTTTTTTTTTTTTTTACTGTTGGCTGTGGCATCTGTTAACATGTGGGTAGTTAAATGTAGGTTTACTCTGATTAGAATTCACTGCAAAACCTTGCAGAAGAGTCTTACAGTAGCTGGATCATGTGAATGAGACTATATGTAGGCTCTGCATCTGCAAACTGAAAAACATATATTGCATTTTCCAAAAAAGCATGTCCTAGTTTAAGAAAATCATAAAATAAATTTAGCCACGTTTCAGCTAATATTTAAGTACTCCAAGATAAAAGAAATGTATACATTTTTGCAATATATACCAAATGGAAACTTCTTGTATTTTATCTACCCCTAAAGGAACAACTGCAAATCCTATAAAACTTAATACCTACCTTCAAAATGTATGTAGTTTGAGCCTGGTAAAGTACATAACTTTCTTCTCCTTTAGAATGAAGTCACCCTGCTGAGAAATGAAGTGGCACAGCTGAAACAGCTTCTTCTGGCTCATAAAGATTGCCCTGTAACCGCCATGCAGAAGAAATCTGGCTATCATAGTGAGTAATGTTCCATTACCTATAGCCTTAGGCTGCATCAATGAAATACTGCCAAAGTGAACTGAATGAACATTAAAATTGAGAAGTGCGGTTCTAATATTACATTAAAGATTTTTTTTAAAATTCTCGAAGGTTATTGGAAGACAGGAATGAATATGTGATACTTAGAAATGTATTTTTAAGTCCTTTCAGTTGAAGTGTTGCATAACATTGAAGGTTTTATGTTGGTTTAATAAATGCATATGATAATTAGCATTTAAGGACTATCAGTTACTACACCTGCTTTAGAAAATATAATTAAAGTATTAAGAGCACACGATAAACCATTTTTTATACTTTATCTTAGCCTAGTACAGTGAAGGGTCCTTGTGGGTTTTTTCTTCATTGTAATGAGATTTCAGTAGAGGTAATATAACAGCTGTCCTCATTTACCATAACATGCAGGATCAGTCAAGCCGTTAAAATAATCAGATGCAGGTTCATGACTCCTACTGTACAATGTCTTCTAGATTGTTTTGATTTCCACATTAAGTGACTACTTTTCTATAAACAGTGTATTTTAAAAAGCAGTTCTAATACTGAAGGGAATACCTAGAGTTTCAGTAGCATTTATTTTCTAATGCATATCTTTACTTAAAGGTGTGCATTTGATTTTCATTCTTCCAGCATTTTAAAGGTTAATTATGCTTTCCTGACTTGTAACTTCATTTTTGGATATGATACACAGTGCCAGAACCAGCTGCTGCTGCTGTAGAATAAATGGCCAATTTTGTCCATTGTACACAAATTTGTTACAAATAACTGAGCTGGGAATGCATTAGGCAACATTCATAATATATAACCCACAGCTTTCGTTTTTATGATTTAGTGATATTTCAGGATATTTGTAAATGTGAAGATTGTTTCTGCCATATGTAGCCACTTCATTTTAATTTGCCAGTGTCAGTAATTCAGGAGAATAAAGGAACATTTTGTATTGCATGCAAACAGATCCTCAGGTGCTTGCGATAAAACTTAATGGCCACCATCTTTACTTGTAGTCATTGTAAGCAATTTCATCAGAATGGGCAATATTTTTTAATTTAAAAGATTCAGGAGATTTAGCAACTCTGTATTGCCATGTATATTTAGAATACTGATTTTGTCAGTTTTGAGCTTATAAATCTTGGTCCTTTGATCTCCAGTCATTTTGACAAGACAGAAAATAGCATCTTGGAGTAAATTGGAACGGTATAGAAATATGTTTGGGATTTATATTAACAATGATTGCTGCAGGGATGAGGCCATTATGGCTCCCATCTGACAGAACAACATAATTTCATACGGAAGTTACTAGGGGGATAACATTATGCATGCAAGGTTTTTCAAAAAAAAAACAAAACAACCAAACCCAAAAAAATGTAGGTTTCTTGAATTTTGATTTTTTTTTTTTTGAGGATGCATGTGTCTGAATTGGCATGAAAAATATTTAAACACGAGTCTTAAACTGACAAAATAATTACATGCTAAGGATTTCTTTGTTGTAGAATTAACAAATAGCCTGTTTAGTAATGCTTCTTTTCTGCCCTCAGAAAAGGACTATAATGTTCCTAATTTACTAAAAAATGCAAAATGAATAAGAACTAACATACTAATCAGTGGAAAAGCCTACATTTTAGAAAAAAGATGAAATAATACTAAGCAAGGAGATTGGAAGCACAGCTCACCTAGTTTCTTGAAAAGTCTCTTGAAAATCAGAGTTCAACATGAATGCTAGTTGTAATGCCATCCCTCTGAAAGGATTTTGTCACATTATCTCCGTGTGAATATTGTTAGGAAAGCATGTTGGCTAAGTGACGTACCCACCGTACAATTTGTGAGAGGAAAAAATGGTTTCAGTTAATACGTTCATGGAAATGGCATTCGTAGAAAGTATTTTTAAATAAACATATTATGTTAATCACATAAGCTAAGTTGAATTACTTCAAAAACATATTGAGTAGTTTAACAGTCTGTGGAAGAAGCTGAAGACAGGAGATTACAAGAGCTCCTGTGGTGCTGAGTATTGTGCACTGCTGAGACAGTGCTGGTTTATACCACGCACACCGTGTTTTAACAGCTAAGTGCACAATTTAATGGGGTTTCATGTATGATGCACCTAAATAGGCACAAATAATCTATTGCTTTTCAGTGTATTTTTGGCACTTAATTTTACATATCTTTAAAGATCTTTCAGATTTCCCAGGCACATTTTTATCGCAGGCCAAGTGAAAAGCATGACAGTGTGGATACCCCTTTCTTCTTCTAAGATTGTTCTCGGGATCATATTTTCCTTATTTAAAAAGTCTTGTGCCTGCTTCAAAATAGGGTGTCATCAGGACAGAGAAACCTGAAGAATGGTTATTGCACTTGGAGGCAGCATCGATGAATTCCTCTTGCAATGTTTTGAGTTTTCAGACAGTTTAAACTTTATTTCCTAAAGAAAGATGCTATTGGTTCTGAATGCATCTTTAAACATTAGGGAGGGGAAAAATAAGGGCTGTGTGTAGGAGATATCTAAATGCTGTTAATTTATTTTTTGTTTTAGCTCTTCTATACCAGATTGTTCCTATAAGTCTTCCGCAATACTCCTTTATTTTCTCAGGCTTTTTCTGGACTTGGAGCAGGAAAAAGGCGAAAACTTGTAAGAAGATTATTAGAGCTGGGGGGAAAAAAAAAAGTGTGTTTTACGTATTTTTCAAAAGGGCATCATAATATTCAAAAAGATTTGTACATTTGTGAATATAAAGGAAGATAAATAGAGGTTGCAATGTAGGTGGTATTAAATGAGTTTTTTGTGTTCTTTCTCTAGTTAGTTTTACAGAAGTGGTAGAAGGTGACTAACCACTTTCACACCTCAAATAATTTGAACCACTCAAACTACTGCGCTCCTAGAGCCTGTGCTGGGCCAGTGACAGTCCTTCAGTGACTGCAGGGGATGGTCGCGAAGGCCAACGCCCTGGGAATGAGCATGTCTGGGCTTGAGTCCCTCTCTAGCCCGCGCGTGGCCCATTGAGAACTGCCATGAGGCTTCCTTCCTCGTGCTTATCGGGGACCGACGGGAGTTCTGGGTCACATGGCAGTGCTTGCATACTCGCTCCCCTTTTGGTTTTGGTGGGGTTTTCTTGTGAAGACTGAAGTCCCTCTTTGTTTGCTTACCTTACTGAAAGCTCTTGGTAAGCAGTGCTAAGAAGAAATAATAGCAGTGTTTGACTATTCTAAAAGGGCCCTCCTTAGTACAACCTCAAAAGTCCCCTCTGTGCTTTGGTATTTTTAAAATCTTTTCTATAGCTCAGTCTAGCCCATGTTGTGTTCTGTTACCAGACTGGCTCGGTCCTTCTCGTGATGCAGCCTGCCTGGGAACTGTGTAGCCTTCAGGAAAGTTCATGTGATACAGGTCTGTAAATTCTCAGCCTTCTAATGTGTACAGCACACGTTACTTCTGTAGATTCATTTCTCTTTTGTGCCATGCATTTCCTTGGTTTGAGGCAAAGCTGGGGGAGCCATTAAAAAGCTAAGATGTCTAGGCTTTTTTCTACATTGTTAGCTACATTATGATTTTGGTATGTGTCAGTGGCACTCTTGAAACTATGATCCTGTGCCTGGCAATTCTCTGGTCAGCTACGGAAAAAAAAAATCTGTCAGAATTTTCATGTGTTCTTCTAAAAGCCTTTCTTCTTTATTCCCAATCTTCAGGCTTAAGAAAACAAGTCATCTTTATAGTGAGATGACTTTTAGGTATCTTCTGTGTTCACTGAGCAGATTTTCTTGTTTGGTTTTAATTCTTCAAAGGGAGTTCTGTATTCAGGTTTTGGTTGCTATTCCTAGGGCTACATAAGGAAGAATTTTAAAGGAAATCTAAATAGCTATTATTTAGGGTGGCATCTAATTTCTAAATATCACTTTGTAGTTATTGCAAGGATTTATCCTTGTAGTCAAATTTATTACCATAAACTAGTGTTAGGTCTGTATCTTATATTACCACTGGTCTGCTGTAAGCTCCCCCCTCTAGCCCCTGGCATCTGAAAATACCTGAATCATGTGCTTTTGTCTCTTCAGCACAGTATGTTTGCTCATCTGCTCAATGATATGAAAGCTTCTATTGTACATTGGTGACCATATGTATTCGCATACCTGTCTCTTCCATTGCATGTATGGTCTTCCTGAACCCGTCAAAATCAGAAAATCAAGCCTTTCTCACGTTTTTACCACTGTGAATTTATTACAGACATTTCTTTTGAGTTAACAACATGTGTTAAGAGACAGAACAGTGGAAGACCTTCCTTCTCTGGCTGAAAGATAACAATCTACTCTACTTCCTCTCTGTCTCTGGCTTGTAGCATTTAAAACTAATCTTTTTTTTCATGATGATAAGGAGGATTTGGCCAACAAGGGAATCGGGGATCAGCAAAAGAAGCATAATAGGAAGATTGAGATTCATAGGAGAGTAACAGTAGCTCTGAAGAGGAGGAGCCAGGTGTTAAAGCAGGGAGACTATATTCGACACACATCATCCCACTTGCTGCCATTTCATTCCATCTGAGGGGAAGAATATGCTACGCTCCTAATTAGTAATTCATTATTTTCTGGGAAGTGGCACTAGAGTTTCTAACAAAGTTTGCATGTGTTCCTCCTTTTGTTTACATAAGATCTTGTGGGTCTTGATAGAAGCGTAGCAAAGACGAAATCCTGTTGAATAGTGTTAACTGAATTGGTGCTCGTTCATGTTCTTTCTGTTCTTGAATGGGCCACTCCTACTAAGGATCACAAATGTCTTTCAGAAGTGTTCTACTTTTCTTCCTCTTGCTGTATACAGTTACTGTGTGATCTTAGGGTATGTGGTAATTGTCAGCAGACCTAGCCCAATATCATCTGTCTCTATTGCCTTTAATGCTTGAAAGATCTGTTTTTGAAAAAATGCAGTATCTGTAAAATAGTTGGCCTCGTGGATAAGAACATTCTGATACTTTCAAAGGATTATGTCCGTGCTTTTATAGTAGAGGTATAAAAGAAATTGTTACCTTGTTCATGTAGGCAGTATTTCTTAGGAAGAAATATAGCAGGTTTGCTGGCTTACCGTCCTTTTTCACCTTACTGTTCTTTTCCGGAAGCGGTCGATAGTAGAACTGCTGTTTCCAGGCTTTGAAGAGCACCATGCTTTTAGCATGCGTGGGCTTGTTTCAAAGATCTTTATCGTGGGGACTTGACTTGCTAATTTAGTGCATTTTCTTACCCGTAGCCAGTATGTCGTATAAACCTCAGTACATCATAAACTTCATTTCATCATTGTTTGTCATGCTTAGTGTTCCTTTTAGTTGCTGCTATTAGCCTGGATGGAAGGGAGGTTATGACACCCTGGTGGTGTTCCTCTTTTAGCGACAGCGTCATCCCTGCCCATTCCTTCTTTTCCCCTGGTAACTTGACTTTGTTGGCCCGTCTCGAGCCAATCTGAAAGGGATTGTGAAGACCGCTCTAGAGAAAATCAAGCGTTGTTCCATTGCTCTGTCACAAGCAACAGTTCATGCTGCTTCTGGCTATGTTTGTGTGTATCTTTCTGTGTCGTTATGTTATACAATAGTCAGTTGCATTTTAAAAGGGACTTCCAGTTTTCCATCTGTATACTGGGTTTAAGTCAGCGTATGAAACTCTTGTGAAAAATACTTGAAAACAATAAGTAGCGTAAAGTGGGGCAAAAAAAATTTAATTAAATTTGGTGTTCATACTCTTAGTTGTGAGTGAAAAACAGTACATTTGTTTTGGTTTTTTTTTCTCTTTAACTCAGCGTTTTGCTTGACAGTATTTGCATAATGCCTTGGCTAACTTTGCAACTCTGGAAGAAAAGGATGATTTTAGCATGACTAGGATGTCAGTGTAAGAAAGATATTTTATATCCTGCTTATTCTAGTTTTGCACAATGAGAATTATTTTTTAATCTGTTTACCCTCTGTCGTGAGAAAAAATGATGCAACTGTGTGGCTAATTCACATCAGGTTTGTGGAGAGCACCTGAAGTGTTCTTGAAGATATTTTTAAAATTAGTTTTAATAATTTAAAATTTATTGAGAGGCATTTGTATGCTAAAGAAGTTACTGAACTTGACTCTGTTGAAAGAACATGGGTTGAAAACTTGTGCAAGTATTGTCCAATTAATATAGGGGTGTAAATAATACTTTTTCAGGTGTTGTATTCATGATCACAAGTGTTACTTACTGAACATAGAATTCTTCTCGTTTGATTACTAAGCAAACTCAGTAAATAGCATACATTAAAAATCTAAAGCCAATTCCTATAGCACTAGGACATCTGGTAGCATTTTTAATGTATAAATACTGCTTATTGACAGGAGCATTCATGGTTAGAATTAGGTGTGGTACCCACCAGCTGATGTACTAGGCAAGAAATTGGACAATTTTAATCAGGACTTTGAAGATGTGAAAATGTGCTTGTTTCCTGAATGTTCCAAACTGCAGTCCATTACTTTTTTTGCTTACAAAGTAGTATTTTCTTTAAAAAATGAAAATAAGATTGTTTTGCAATTTGTGCTGCATTACACCATGAATTTTAATAATTTAGGGGTGGATTGCTGTTACCTGGGACGTGGCGGTGTGCATTCTGGGGCAAAAAATAAATGCGTTTTTCTTCTTCAGCTGCAGATAAAGATGACAGTTCGGAAGACATATCAGTGCCAAGCAGTCCCCACACGGAAGCTATTCAGCACAGTTCTGTCAGCACTTCCAATGGCGTCAGCTCAACTTCCAAGGCAGAAGCGGTGGCCACCTCCGTTCTCACCCAGATGGCGGACCAGAGCACAGAGCCCGTGCTTTCCCAGATCGTCATGGCGCCTTCGTCCCAGTCGCAGCCTTCAGGAAGTTGATTAAAAACTTGCATTGCATCAGTTTCTTAGATATACATATGTGACTTTAAAGGGAAATCGACAAAAGACCAGTCTCCACCTAGGAGAAATTGTAGCTTAAAATTATTCATTTTTAAAAATCCAACTTAAATTTGGCTTTAACGATTGGCAGGTGAAGATGAGACAGAACACCAGTTCTAGTCTCTTTGCAAAAGACTTTTTTTTTTAAGTATTAGTTTTACTAGTTGTTTTTTGTGCTTAATGTGTAAAGTGTGTGTACAGTACAATGTGGTTTATTTCATTTTTAATTTGGTATTATTTCAACAAACATTGGGGTGAATTACTAAAGGTCAATCCCAAGACTGTGATAGTAATATTATGTGACATTTTTATACCAAAGTTCTGCATAGTCCCTATTGACTTTGTAACGTTAGCAAGGTCATAAAGCACTAGGCAAGAGAAAGACAGTAACAGTAAATTTGCTTTTAGTCTTTTTGCCTTTTTGTTGTTTTGCACATTATGAGAGGAAGAACATTGGGAGAAAAACGTTTGGGTTGTTTTATATATGGCATTTTGGTTGGCTTTTTAACCGTTGGGATTTTTAATTTGTTTAATAGGGCCAGTACAGTATATGAGATACAGTACTCTTATGCACATACCTATCTTAGATGAGGATCATTACTGAACAGATTTGATTTTTATTTTTTTTTTTTATTTTAAATTGATGCTAGGTGGTTTGGTTTTTTTCCCCTCCAACACTTTCATTCTTGGGGGGAGGAGAGCTTTATTTCTCCAGTCAGAACAGATATCTATAACTACCCTTTGTTGCTAGGCTGAAACCAGTAAGCATATTGTAAAATACAGGGTTATCACATATGGAATACTTAGTATTCCAAAGTAGGTTGATATTTTGTGGATTTTTGAGTCACAGACTAAGGAGTTTACTCATGGTTTTGGATGCCAGAAAAGCCTAAAATACTTCTTCAGACAACTCAAGACTTTTTTTTGTCATTGTCTTGTATTTGCAAGCTAACTTGTACTTAATTCTTGTGTAAGCACTGTCATCTTTTAGTAGCAAAAATTTTGATACCTTTCTTGTGGGGAGAAAAAAAAAAATCAGTATCTACCGTATCTTGGAAACAATGTACTTATAATGTGGTGTGTGTGGTGTGTGCGTGAGAATGGTTCCGTAGTTAATGCCAGCAGTCTTTTGCTTGAATGTTTAAAGATGCCTTCAATGTGATGCTGGCTGATAGGTGATTGCAGTTTTAAAATGTTATTTACTGTGCGAACTTGGATAACTAACATTCCATGATGTAGTTTGTTTCTGATGAGATGATTGTAGGTACACTTTTTCTCATTATCCAATCATCTGTAGGATATTGAGTTTTTTAAATGTGCCATTATCTATTTTGATTCTGTACTCATGTTCAAAATACAGTACAATATTTTACAATAGATTAAGTTGTTTAAAAAAAGTAGATGTGTGCTTTCAGGTCGGAGAACTTTGCATAATAGCAAAAACAGATGCATAGTAGCAACTGGCAGTAAAGCAGGATTCCATTATGTATATAACAAAGATTTAATGCATTTATAATGGGTTGTGTAGTTCATTTGCTCTTCCTTCTCCACACTATATACTATGTGTTTTTAAGTGTCAGTGCCATCAAGTTTCTATTTGATTCAGTTTTAAATCTAAAAATGTAATCGATCCACAGGAAAATCATAATTTCTACGATATATATACAACCATACATAATGAAAACTGGACAAAGAAGTATCTAAGTCATATATGTATCATTGCAGGGCTTTAAGCATGAAAATAATAGGGATTCTAAATATTTTGTATTTTAAGTCTAAGAAAGTTGAGTTGATAACCTCATGTGTTTAAAAGTCTTACTTTCCCAATTTCAAGGTAAAAAGCTGTAACCGTTCTTGAACGTTTCCAGGATGGTGAAATACAATGGACCTCTTGGGAGAAGGAAATGAATTGCAAAGGCACAAAATGTGAATTCTGCAAGAAAGCTATACAGTCACTTGTCATTGTAGTTTTGGTGGACTAGATAAGGCCTCATTGATTATACTATAATTTGCTCTCCTAAACACACGGGGCTTTTAAATCATATTTATATAAGTGGAGTTTTTTTATAACAAAACTGTCGCGCTTGTAAAATAAGTCTACATAAGTGTATAGGAGATGTGTAAACAGTTAATGAATTTAACAGTGGGGCTGGAAAAAAGAACCATTAAAATCTGTGTTCGGCAAATAGAGAAAAGTTATTAGTCGTACTACCATGAATTCCGTTTTGAGACTTATGTCACACTACTTCTGTACTTAGCATTTGGGGTCTTTACATTTGACATGTTTCACAAACTGTACTGTTTTCTTCTATGTGCAGTTTGCATGAGTAAATCATCAAAGAGAATAAAATCTATCTTTAAGTTATGTTCCTATTTTAATGAAATTATACTTGTTCTAAAAGGCAGCACTGTCTTCAGACTTATTTCTTCCTCCTTGCAATTACCAGCATTTTTCTGGAAATCATTGCCATAATGTCAGGGTAATGTTATGTAAATAAGAACACACGTTTCCTGAGAAAATAAGCCAAATTCCATCGCTCTGCAGTTGAGTTCCAGCAGCTTCTTGAGGAATCAGCCCTGTATCATTCGATCCGGGAGCTGAGGGTACTCTGCGGGTAAAGGACTCCATAAACAGCTTGGTGAGCCCGGGTGTTGCTCAGCTGTTTCTGGTTGCCCCAAGTTCCACAGCAAAAGCGTTGTGTGTAAGCGGAATTTCCAGCTGACTTTCCGGTACCTTAATCTTCTCTTAACATACATGGAGCCAGGAAATAACGGCCATAGTCAGATGAGCTGCTCACAATTTCGTTGTGAAAGGTTGAGAAAAGATCATGCCCGCACGTCTGATTTTTAGAATATTAAAAACGGCTTGGGCTTCTTTATGAATGTTGGAGATATGATACATGGCGTGGCACATCCTGTTACATCATCATTTGAAAAGCTCTTGACACAGAGGCTTGGGGGGG